GTACACTGAATCTATAAATAGGTTCTAACTCTTTCTCCCTTAGTTCCCCTTCCTTTCCTTTCTACAGCTGTTTAGTTTCCTTAAAATGGTTGTAACAAGGTTTCAGCCTTCATCTGTGATCATGCATCCTGCAGAGAAGGAAACAATTTTAGCTAATCCACAAAAGCAGTTGCAATGAAACTGACTCTCTATTTAAAGAGGTTGTCAAACATGTACAAATTGCTTGAGAAATGAATGATATGCTCTTATTTTTGAAGTTATTTTTGCTACATTGGCATTAAAGAAAAAGTTTGATACTGATTCCAAGACAGAACTCAGGAAAATTAAAGCCTGTTATTTTTGCTTAAAAACATTCCAAAATAGGTATCTGATGTTCAACAGGGACCATAAAATGATGAATTATGCAGGAATGACCATTGTACCTTAGTGTTTTGTAGTGCAGTGGTTTGGTGGTAACACTAAAGACTGTGAATGATATATCTATATCTATAGCTTATATAGATAGGCTATAGATTATATGTAGATTTTTATGTATAGATATCTAGTATCTATATATATAGATATCTAATATTCCATATCTATATCTAGATATTAGATGTCCAGATATCTAGATATCTCATATACAGATATACATATAACTAGATATTTATATATAGATATCTAATATTTATCTCTATAGATATGCCTACATCTCTCTTTCTTTCTCTCTCTCTCCCTCTCTCTCTCCTTGTCTCTCTCTCTCTCATATATATATATACATATATATATATTCACAAATACTTTGAGGAGGCAGATAAGAGATTACACGTGGAAGGAACAGACCCCACATAGAAGGACCTGATCTAGGTCCTTTCCAAATTTGCATATTGAAGTAATACCTTTGATTTCAGCACCTCAGTATGTGACTATTTGAAGATCAGGCCTTCAACAGATACTTACAGTTCATGAGATCATAAGGGTAACCCGTAATCTGACATGACTGATGTATTTATAAAAAGAGGAGATTGGGAGACAGTTGTGTACAGAGAGAAAACCATGTGAGGACATAGGGAGAATACAGCCATCTGTAAGTGTCACAAAGAGTCGAGTGGCTCCAGAGAAACTGCTGATACTGACACTCAGGGGACTTCTTGCACCCAAAACTATGAACCAATACATTTTTGAGCCAACTCTGGTGACACACACACCTATAATTCCAGCATTGATCAGGAGTTCAAAGACAATCTGGGCTACATAGCAAGACCCTGTCTCAAATATTAAAAAATAATGAAAATAAAAACTGAATTTTTGTTTTGTAAATCACCAAGTTTGTGGTACTTTGTTATGGTAGACCTAGCAGACTAACTAAGCAGACCTAGAAAATAAAGAATCATAGAACCATCCAGAAGGGAGGGAGTTAGCAGAGTCTTTAAAAAGAGAGTGGTAACTGGAAGGGAAAGATAGGAATTTAAGACTTTCCACAATGAACCTGAAAAAATGGATAAAACAATAGATGAAGTCATTGAGAGTGTGAGTGCCAGTCAGATGTGTCACCTAAGCTGGACTATAGCTCCCACGTTTTCACACGCTCACAAATGTGTTACTATGAAGGCATTTTTTAGATGTGATCAGAGTTTATAATCAGTTGACTCAGCAAAGGAGATGGTCCTAGAACATCAAGATGTGGGAGATCCATCAGGGGAATATAGCCTGAAGATCAGAGTTAAGATTCACTGAAAAAGAAGAAATTCTACCTGCAGATGGCAGCTTACTTTTCCTGCCAGCTCTACAATCTCTTACGCCAATTTTCTGCAAGAACTCTCTTGGTTATATTTCCAGTATTGGTTCCACTTCTCTGGCTGAACCTTGACTCAAGCAGAGAATGTGCCAAATGAGGACCAAAAAAAAGCTGAGGAGAAAACAGAGAATAATTCCATCACATAGGAAACATCACAGGAAAAGAAGGGGAAAAGGAGAAGAGGAACAAAGAAAAGCCTCCAAAGCAGTGGAGAGTGAGAAAACTGAGGAGACAATTCTGTAAGAGAACTGAAGGATCTGAGATTGGTCAGTTATGCCCAACCCTTCAGAGAAGGTAGCAGCAATTGGCTGAAGCAGGAGCAATAAGGTATAGTAAAGGACTTTCAAGGTCAGCACCAAATACAAGGGACAGATCACTGAAGAAAGTGGGAGGAGACAAGGACATGAAGAAGGATCATTCCTCCACAGAGCTTACCTTCCTGTAGTGGGCAGCAGGATGAAAAGACCGTAGCTAAGGGAAAGTTGGTGCATATTGGGCTTTTAGTAGGATAGGAGATACTTGAGTATGTCCAGGTGCTGAAAGGAACAAGAATCGATGGCAGAGAGAGATAGCAGATGGAGTAGGAAGGATATAAATGAAACAGCAAAACCACAGGAGACAGTGAGATTCAAAACACAGGAGCAGAAGTTAAGGAAAGTGATGTGACTTTCCTCTGAGATGAATCACTTGCTGTCAGCATGCATGTGAGAAGGGGCTTAGCAACTGGACTCTGTCTCAGTGAATTACTCTTCACTTTTTCTCCTTTTGAGACAAGATCTCACTATATAGCCTAGGGTGGTCTTGAACTTGTGATCCTTCCACTTCTACTTCCCAAGATGAAAGAAAAGAACAAAACACTCTAGAAAGAGCTTGGGCCAGAATATTTTGTTCTTTTTTTTTCATTTTCTAGTTCCATTATCAGCTGTCTTGTTTCTAATAAAAAAGTGAAGTCAAGGTGGTGCATGCCTGTAATTTCAGTCCTTTTTTTGTGCATAGTATCTAAGGGCTATTTTAGATTTTTTTCATTCTTTTTAGTCTTGGTCTAGAGAACCATTAAAAAAAAAGGTACAGTGATGGCTCACACCTGTAATCCTAGCTACTGGGCAGGAAAGTCTGTGACATTCTTGTCTTCATGAACCACCAAAAGTGACACTGGGGCTCAAGTTGTAGGATTGTAGAGTACCACTCTTGAGCAAAAAAGCTAAGAGACAGTGTCCAAGCCCTGAGTTCAAGCTCCAGTACCAATATGCACACACACACACACACACACACACACACACACACACACACACACCAAACACATGTTACAGATCAACTAGAGATACAGCCTTTCAAAGTGAAGAGTTTAGGTGCTCATTCCAGTAACAATAAGTTGGGTCTGTTCACTTACATACTTACTATTATATAAGAAGGAAGAGAGCTGATGTTTTACATCAAGAATCCTCTTTTTTTTTGTAACAATATTTCATTTCCAACCTCATGACTTCTCTACTTAGATCTCTTAATAACTGTAATCTAGAATAGTTATCTTTTCTTTGATCTTCTCTCTAATGGTGATCAACTCTGAGAATACTTTGCTGATTATTTTGGAGACATGGAGATGGAATCTAAGAGACTTTCCTGCTTGGGCTGACTTCAAAACACAATCTTCCAGATCTCAACCTCATGAGTGGCTAAGATTACAGATATAAGCCACTAGCATGTGACTAAATAATGGTTCTTAGTTTTAGAGAACAGATAAACATGGGCTGGGGATATGGCTTAGTGGTAGAGTGAATGCTTGCATGCACGAAGGCCTGGGTTAGATTCCTCAGTACCAAATAAACAGAAAAAGCCAGAAGTGGCAGGCACTGTGGCTCAAGTAGTAGAGTGCTAACCTTGAGCAAAAGAAGCTCAGGATAGTGCCCAGGCCCTGAGTTCAAGCCCAGGAAAAAAAAAGGCCTAACATTCCAAAGACCTACCACCTCTACAAAGACAAATAAAAATATTTTGAATAGTTATTTTTATTATGATGGTTTCCCAAGAGAAAAACTCATGTTATTGTAGATAATACTCTAAAAATTCGTGATAGAGAATATTTCTCAAGACTAAAGTCAGAATAAAAATGAATAACAAGAAAAAAATCAGTTCTTCATTCTTTCAATGTCCCTAATCTGGAGTGACTTGTATCCTCCCTTCATTTGGCAGCGGGTAGGGGGAGACTGGTCTAAGAAATGTAAGCTTTGTATTCATTCTCAGATTGCCAAAGCATTGGGTCTCTCTGATGCAAAACACGTTTTCCTTCCTTCTTTCCTTCCTTCCTTCCTTCCTTCCTTCTTTCTTTCCTTCCTTCCTTCCTTCCTTTCTCTCTGCCTCCCTCCCTCCTCCTTCCTTTCCTCCCCCCCTCTCCCACTTCCCTTTCCCCTCCTTTCTCTCTGTCTTTAAAAAAGAATCACTTCATTTACCAGAAAGTTAATGTGTATGTAAATAGTTGGAATTTTATCAGAGGAAGGTAACATTAAGAAAATTACACAAGGGAACAATAGAAGGGTAGAAAGGGTGAAAAATAGTAAAAATAGTAAAGCAATTTTTGAAAATGCGCACAGAGGCAGTTTAGAAGATAAATATTAGCTGGTTAATTTACAAGTCATTGATACGCAGAAGAAATAAGAAGGGTGCCATATGTGTATCAACCACCCTAAATAGTATATTGGCTTCTGTTTCATAAGCCATGACACTAGTCTGATGACTCATAGGCAAGTCTGAATTGTCTCCAGTGCATTTGGTGGACTTCAAATTCATCTCCAGAAATATTTACAAAGGACAAACCGAAGTGCTGTAAACCGAAGCGGCCACCAAGCCTAAGGCCATGCAGATCAACTAGTTTCTTTACCAAGAGACTTTAAACTTAGGGCCTAAACCCAGCTGCCTTCCCCACAGACTGCTCTCAACCCCTGTACTTTCCCACACAGGGTTTCCAGCAATGACTTGGAGCCCTGGGTTCTATTGGGGTGCAGATTGCTCTTAAATCGCCCTCGGCACTCAGGCAGCAGCTCTCAGATTCACTGTAGCAGAATGCCTAGAATCCCCACTTAAAAAACTCTCACAGGAATTCCATCACCTCTCAAGATGCCAACCTCTTAGAATTCCCGGAGCCCTGGAGGGCAGAGAGTCCCCATCACCCCAACTGGCTCGGTCCCTGCTCCGCCCAGTCACAACTGCATCCTCAAAGCTGTGTGCTCACCGGATGATCACGAACATGACCAGAGAGTTGCCCACCAAGCCCACCACGAACACCACGGAGTAGATCGCGGTGATGATCACCGAGATAGCCTGGGAGATGTGCGCCGACTCCAGCGGCGTGTCCTCGGAGCTGGCACTGCCGTTGTTGTTGGACTCGGCCCAGCCCGGGAACCAAGCACTGCCATTGGGGATCGGGCAGGCACTCGGGGCGCAGTTGGGGCCTGGCGTGTCGCGGAAAATCTGGACTGGGGAGTCCATTGTGGGGCGGCTGTTGCTGGAGAGCGAGGAAAAGCAGCACCTGCGGGACTGACACACACACACACACACACACACACACACACAGAGAGAGAGAGAGAGAGGACAGGTTAGACTCAGATGCAAACTTTGCCGGCGTGCAGAGGCTGGCGAGGATGCAGACTGGCAGCCCTTTGTCACCCAATCCCGCCGCACATCCCGGCGTGGGGCGGGGGGCAGAAGGGATCAGTGACCTCTCCTTGACACTCCTGTCATCTGAGGGGCTGCTGGGGACCAGGCAGGAGTGGAGAGAACTCCTGTCTCCTCCAGCTGAGATGCCCCCTCCCCTGGCACTGGTGGAACTGTCCCCAGACTAGGCTTCCAAGGATAAGGAACACCTCCTCGACTCCCGGGAGCAGCCAGCATCAAGCCATAGCTAGGATACACGTTGAAAGCCCCGAGCTCACCCCTGGTTTCTCGAGACAGGTGAAGCGGAGGCTGCTGAACCGCGCGTCCCCGGCTCCGCTCAGCGCTCAGTCTTTCGGATCACTGCGGCGGTCACTTGCCGCCCAGCGTCCCCTTCTGTCCAACCTCAGCCAGCAGCTCTGGCCAGAGGGCTTTAACTCTGCCGAACGCGATCCACGTCCCAGCTGCTCAGCGCGCGCGCATCTCGGCTCCAACTACTGGAGCCGGCTCAGCGCGGCGGGGGCGCAGCTGAGATGTGGCCGCCCAGGCGTTAGGGGACCTGAGGCTAAGAGCCCGGCTGGCGCCCCCGCTCTTGAGGCCCGCCCATCCCCGCCCCGCCTATTCAGATCTGGCCCCCAGTCCGGCAGTCCCGCGCCCCATCTGCCCAGGGATCGCCCAGTGGACTCGGTCCCAAGGTGCACACCGCCTGGCTTCCATAGCTTTGTAAGACTTCCCAGAGGCCCAACACTGAAAAAGGCATGCCTATTTAGTGTGCAACTGGATTATTTCAGAATTTGTCTTCATAGTTCACAGGATATGTCTGGGTTTTTTTTCAGATAAGGAGAAGAGTCCTCAAGATTTTGACTGTTATTTATTGGAGCGATTCAAATAAAGTAGCAAAACGATCCAGTTAAAATAAGAGCCAATCATAAAATATCGTGTAATGACTCAAGATGCATACAGAGGATATTTTGTGCATTCTGTTCCTTTTCAGTCTGCTTTAACTGGATGTCAGGTTGCATTTAAACTACACCTCATAGCTGCTAAGCATATTGCATGCTAACAATATTACATGCTAACAATATTACCTATGGAAACAAGCACTGTCCTAACCCAGGCTTTATCCCTTGTCCTGAGATGGGAGAGACTGTCTTGCCTTAATCCCAGCAGGCATCATATTCTCCCCCACTTCTCCCTCACCTCTTGCACTGAGACTTGAACTCTGGGCTGGAGCTCTTGCTTGTCTTTTTTGCTTGCCATATTTTCTCTTTGGGCTTAATTAGAGATAGGAGTCTCCTGAAATTTTCTGCCCTGGCTGATTAAGAACCTCCATCCTCAGAACTCAGCCTCCTAAGTAGCTAGAATTACTGGCATGAGCCACCAGCACCGGACAAAGGTTAAGATTCTTAACCTCTGTAGAGAAACTCAACACAAATTTGTTGTGTAACTTTAGCAGCCCAAGGATCTCTGTATATCAGAGGGTTTTTTTTTTGTTTCTCAGATTCTGTTTATTGGATTTTCTTGAGTAAGTGACATGAGGGATAGAAGCACAGAGATGGGCATCCAGCAGATATTAAGAGGAAGATCTTGGGATATAATGGAGAAGTTCACCTTTCCCAGTGGTTACTGCAGATCAGATTAGAATTAAGACACTTGGATTCCCCCAGTGGATTCAGTCTCAGCCTGACCAACCTAGGTCCTTACTGCTTCACATTCAAGTCCACACCTGGACACTATAATAGCACATACACCCACCAGCTGATCATAGGAGAAAGCACCCACTTCTTTCAAGACACTGACCCCAAAGGAGATTTGGTCATTATAGAGTCGTCCCATAGTCTAATAAGGCACAACTCTTTGAAGCAGCATAATGTGAAGATAAATAGAAAGCTTGTCTTTAGCCAGAAATATTCCTTCAATTCTGACTTTGGAGAACTATTAACAAATCTCTTTGCTATCTCTTGTTGCACACACCTATGCATATACTATATAGAAGCAAGACGGCAGCCAGAGTAGTCCTCTACATATTCTATTTCAGGTGAGGAAAACAATACAGAGCATCTCTTCCCCTCAATACCAATAAAATTTAACAAAGACAGAAAAGAAGAAAGGAAAATATATTACCTGCTACTTCCTGCCAGTGATCACCCACTAACACCAAAACCAGTCCAAAAGAGATGTTTCTCTTGAAAACTAAAAAAGAAGCAGTATTAAACTTGAAAAATAAATACAAAATGGTATATCAAATAAAATGTTGGGGAAGAGCAAATCTATCCATTTTACTTTTTATTTATTTGCTTTTTATCTATTTATTTAGGATTTCATGCATTAAAGATATATTTCCAGCCAGGTGCTGGTGGCTCACATCTATAATTCTAGCTACCCATGAGACTGAATGATCTAAGGATCAAGGTTCAAAGCCAGCCTGGACAGGAAAGGCTGTGAAATTCTTATCTCCAATTGACTACCAGAAAATCAGAAGTGGTGCTGTAGCTCAAAGTGGTAGAGCACTAACTTTGAGCAACTCAGGGACCAGGCCCAGGTCTTGAGTTCAAGCCCCACAGGCAAAAAAAAGATATATTGCCTTTGTGCCACACCTTTTTGAAGTGTGTCTATGTTACTCATTCCCACATTGGTTCTTTCTATATTTAATATGCTGATGGTTCACAAACAGGTAATGCTGGATAGGAGATTAAACACAGGTAATTCTGTTTCAGTGAGGAAACAAATACAGAGCTTCTCTTCCCCTTAAAACAAATGAAATTAAGAGGGAGATATTTAACAAAGATAGAAAAGAAAATAGGAAAATATATTACCTAAAAACTTCTTGAAAAAGTTTTAAAGATGTGAAAAATGGACCAGGCACTGGTAACTCAGGAAACTAAAACCTGGAGGATCAAAGTTCCAAGACAGTCCATACAGAAAAATCTTTGAGACTCCATCTCCAATTAACAGGAGGAATTGCTCAAGTCAAGAGTATCAGCAGTAAGTGAAAAGAGATGAGCAAGAGGCCTTATGTTCAAGCCCTAGTATTCTCTCTCTCTCTCTCTCTCTCACACACACACACGCACACACACACACACACACACACACACACACAGACAATGAAGTTTCTAAGATGATACAATTCTAAAAATTCACATTCTTCAAGTCTTTTTCTCACATATATAGCTAATCATTTTTCAAGGGATTGGTTTCAGAATCCCTATATAATAAATTCAACAAATGTTCTAGTCGGTTATGTAACATTATGTAGTATTTACATATAATGCATAAATCATATACTTTATACATATAAATCATCTCTAGATTGCTCATAATACTAAAACAATTATAAATGCTAAATAGTTGACAAGCTATATTGTTTAAGAATTAATGACACAACATATATTAAAAATATTTTTCTTAGGGAAGGGAAGGGGAACAAGAGAATGGTGAGACAAAGGACAAAGGGGGAACCAATGCAACAGTGATACTCACAAGACAATATGTTGGAAATGATCTGTACAACTGGGGAGGTTGGGGAGGAGGAAAAGTGGGAGAAAAATGAGGGTGGGGTAACAAGTTCCACAAGAAATGTACTCACTACCTTATGGATGTAACTGTAACCCCTCTGTACTTCACCATGACAATAAAATTAAAAAATAAAAAAAATCAATCTGCATTTGGTTGAATCTGTAGGTATGGGACCCATACATAGAGAGGATAGACTATAGATTTAGAGGCATGGCACAAATTTCCTAACACAGGATTAGAACTCCATCAGAGACTTCTAAACTGTAAGATAAGGTTGAAATTCTGATTATTTATAGTGAATCTTTGAGTTACTTTTTGAAGAAAAACAATTACAAGAATTATAACAAAAGCAATCTGTTTCATTTTCATCCCTCTATTCCCCCCCACCACACTTTTTTAACCAAATTAATGACAAAATAAAGTGAAGTCTAGATAGGTAGTACATTGAGACACCTTCAGTTGGCTCTGGTTGCCAGGGGAACCTGCCTGATGCTCTGAATGCAGGGACTGTGGCTGTTTTGGTGAAGCGAGGCTCCGGAGGGTGAGATTTTTATCATGCTCTTGGGTAAAAACCTCATAAAACACTGGGAAAAATACACTATTAAAATTCTGTACTCTATTACACACTAGGATTAATGTTATCATTACTTTATCTCTACTTGCCCATCTATTCAATGAAAACATGCTTGTAACTGCAAGAAGAGAACTTTGAAATCTGAACGTGTTGGAAATTTATTGAATGCTTCAAAGCACTTTGGGTGGTAAGCAGCTGTGACATTTCTGTCAGTAGACTGGATCATTCATCAGCCAGCTGTGATTACCTTGCTTTCTTGTGCTCTATTGACAGACCCAAACCAACCACAAGGGCAGAGGTGAAGGGAACAGATCTGTTTCTTAAGACTTTAGCTGTAGCCACCCCATCCTACTGAGCTCACTAACAGAGTTGATGTGAGCTCACTCCCCTAGGCATATAATAATGAGTGTCCACAAATGACAGAAGAAAAGAAAAGCCAGGAGAGTGTGAAATAATCTCAATAAGGCAATATATATATACACACATATATGCATATATATATATATATATATATATATATTCTGGTATGAGAGGCAGACCTAAACAGTAAACACTTTGTAAATAGCTATTAAATATAGCCAATTCTAATATGAATGTAGGGTATTCAATAGGAAGTTGACTTTTAACCAATACAGCAGGTTTGTATAAATATTTTAAAATAGCTCTCATTCTGAAAGATATTTTAATTATATATTTCAGTAAAATCTCATGTTAAATATTGAATTCTACCTTGTTACAGGAGAAAAGGCATCCAGAGATATTGCATATTCGGTTGGTATACAACTTGGACATA